TGTTTTGCTCTACGAGGTCTAGAATTGCCAAAAATTGAGTTTGAAAATTTGACGTCATCATTTTTGAACAGTTTTTTCGCTATAACTTGGCCAAAAAACGAGGTATCGATCTGAAATTTGGTATGTAGATAGAAGACGGTAGGTACTAACACATATATTCCGGTTTTTTTCGAAAATCAAAAAACTTTTTGGATTTTTCGGCTTATATATCCAAAAAAATGCATTTTTGATTTTTGGGGGTCAAAACTCAAAAATTTCAAAAATCCGAGATAGCAGTTTTGTAGCCCTGTCAATTCTACACCTTTTGTGTCTTGATCATTTTTCTGTATCTTCAAAGCTGTAGGCCTGACAGGTCTTCTCGCGAAGGTCTTTTTTCGGTCGAAAATGACAGAACATGACGTCATTCTGACGTCATTTGTGGCCAACCTATCATAGCCTCTGGAAAATTTTTTGGTCACAATGTGTAAAATCGATGCCCGGAGGGGTCCTGAAAGTTTGGTGGCGATATCTCCAGCCGTTTAGGAGATATCGACCGAAAAGGACAGGGGGGGCCGTTTCGGCCCCCCCCCCTACGGGGCGCGGGTTAAACCCCATTTCCCACACTTTTTTGGAAAAAATGAACTACTGAATATATAAGTTTAACTTTTATTTTGACACTCCAAAATTCTTCTCGGATCTCGAAACAATCAAAGTTTTGGCATATATTTACCAAAAGATAAGAAAATTCATGTTTCAAAGTTATCGATAAACAGTAGAGATGTCGGTTTTCTTGGACTAAAAAAATGGCATCAAACTGAACTTTGGTCTCCGATTTCTCGCAAACGGTTTCGAATTTCGGAAAACCGACTTCAGTCTGGGACATAGGTGGCTCAGCTCTAGTGAAAACCGTTTTGTGGAAAAAAGGTGGCAGTCTACCTTTAAAGCAATTCGAGTTTTTTTTTTTTTTTGCTCTGATGACTGGTGAAACTGTTAGCTTTACAATGAAACAGATCTCAACAAATCCTATTCAAGTAGGGTGGCCTCATGGTTACTGGTTACTGGTAACCATGTACTCATATCAACTCATGGTACATGGTTACTGCCATCACGAGTTACCGGACGGCGACTGCGTCTGCCACCTCCCCCTATCCCTCCGCAGTCCGCAACCACTCCCCTCGCCCCGCCGCGCTGGCTGCCTCCTCGTGTCAGGCTTCGGGCAGTGCTACCAGTGGCTCTCAAACTTCTCTGCTCAACCGCGGCTGGGACAGGCAGCGCCTTCCCTCAGAGTCGCGATACTTTCAAGAGAGACTATACCTATGCAGGTATCTACCTACGTGCACTCACCGGCCTATTTAGGACATCCCACTGGCCTCTGATGTCAGAGGGTCCATGTAAGCGGCTGGGTGCACTTTACTGGCTCTTGAGGCTGAAGGCCCAGGCTGATACCCCAAGGCCCCGCACAAACAACGGGTTATTCCGGACTATTGGAGGCGCTGGCCTTTTGGGAAGGTGCTCCAGCGTGGGTGGGTGGGGGTGGTAGGGGGGGGAGCAAGCGCCACATCTTGCACGCCCTCCGAAAATTTGAATCCGCAGCCTCCCAACCCCGACTAACAAAATTAATCAATAACTTCACTCACAAAATTTTAGAGTCACGGTACAGCTGAGCACCCCTTATCTCATAAAATCATGTTTTGGGCTATAAAATCAGCCTTATGATAAAAATGCCCATCAAACTTCATCAGCATTTTGCTTCCACAGTTGGTACCTGTTTCACCTGTAAGGTTTATAAAAGCAGGAGCACAACCATGTCATAAATAAGGGCATGGGGTATTTTACCTACCCCAGGCATTTAACACTCGAATTCTCCCATACTGCCTTCATCAAACACTTTCCATAGGTACCTCAATGGTCAACCGTCCTAGACGCTTTTCTGTCAGTTTTTTTATAAGCAGGGCCAGGCTGCGAGGCGCACAGGCGCGGATCCAGGGGGGGGCGACGGGGGCGGCCGCCCCCCCCCCCGCCGTCCGGAAAAGGCGCCCATATCCCGCGGCAGAGAGGGCGCCCCGAGCAGAAGAGCGGCGACACAACACAGCAAAGGTTCAGCAGAAATAGGGCGCCTCCAGCAGAAGTTGGGCTCACCAAGCAGGAGAGTGACGCCCAATTGCCTATTCCCAGCAGATGAGAGTCGCCCCAGCAGCAGATACAAGAATATAAAATACCTTCTGTTCAAGAGGGGCGCCCCTGGCAGCGGAAGGGCACCCTTAGCAGGAGACGTGTCCCCCTGAAAAGGAGCGGCGCCCCAGCAAAAGGAGAGAGGCGCCCCCATTCCGAGAAGAGGGGCGCCCTGACAGCAGCTGGGCGCCCCAACAAAAAAGGAGCCCCATAATAAGAAAATTGGTGCCACTGGCAGAAGAGGGGCGCCCCAGCAGAAGAGAGGGGTCTCCAGTAGGAGACGGGCGCCCCAAGCAGAAGAGGGGCGCCCCAGCAGAAGAGAGGCGCCACAGCAAAAGTTAATCAGAAATAGGCAGCCTCCAGCAGAGGTTGGGCCCGCCAAACAGGATATGGGCGCCCCATTGACAATATCCGGCAGTCGACAGACGCCCCAGCAGCAGATGGGCGCCCCCGGTAGAAGAGGGGCGCCCCATTACAAAAAGAAAAGGAGTATATTCTACCAAGAGGGGCGCCCCTGACGACGGCGGAAGGGCAACCCCAGCAGAGGGGCGGTGCCCCAGTAAAAGGAGAGGTGTGCCCCGTTCCCAGCAGCAGAGGGTCGCCTCGCCCCAGAAAAAAAAACAGGAGCCCCATAAGAAGGAAAGGGGTGCCTCTGGCAGAAGAGAGACGTTCCCCGCAGTGGAAGGACGCCCCCACAAGAGTGGCGTCTCCAGCAAAAGAGAAGTGCCCCCTGCAAGAGAGGGGCACCCCACCAAAAGTTGGGCAGAAGTGGGGCGCCTCCAGCAGAATTTGGGGTCGCCAAACAGGAGAGGGCCGCCCTATTCACAGTAGAAAAGACTCCTCAGCAGCAAAGGGGCGCCCTAACAGAAAAGGTGCACTCGTAGTAGAAGTGGGACGCATCAGGAAGAAGAGGGGCACTTCTAGCAGAAGATGGGCGTCCCAGATAAGTGGGCCGTCTACAGCAAATTGGTCGTTCTTAGAAGGAAGAAATGAGACGACTTAAGCAAAGTGGGTCTCTCCATAATGGATTAGGCGATCCAAGCAGAGGTTGGGCGCCCCCGGGAAGTGAGGCATACCAGCATAAGTGAGACGCTTCCAGAAAAAGGAGGGGGCATCACCGGGAGAAGGAGGACTGCACCAGTAAATGGAGGTCACCTTTTTGATAATATCTTTTGCTAGGGTAGCGGTGCCCATCTACGACTTTTAACCCGTGCCGTGCTGGTGGTCTGAGTTTTCCGTGTCCTGCTGGGGAGGGGGGGGGGGGCACACTCCCTCGTCTAACTCGGCTCCTGGGCCGCGTAGTGACACGCGATAAGCGGCATTCGAAAGATCGTCAAAAAACAGGACGAAAACAAAACGGTCATTTTTTAGGTCAGGTCGAATGTCAGGTCACCAGAGGTCATCAAAGGTAAAATGTTGCCTGTTTCAACATTTTCCCGTTTTCGAAGCAGCGGCACATAACTCAGAAACCAATAGAGCTATAGCGCCGCAGAAAAGCGCATTCGATAGCCCTTTTAAAGGTGTTTCTGCAAGCTGCGCTCAGATTTGACCTCAGGTCAACGGTTTAGCCTTCAGAGGGCAAAAGACTCTAAAAATAGCCTTTTTACGAACAATGTTTTCCTGCAATAACTTTTGACTCAAGACAGTCTAGACATTACGTTTGCCAGCATTGCGTTTCTGTCGTCGAGACACGTCGAACAAACTAAAGGTTGACCTTATGAAGGGTAATTTTGAGAATTTGACCTCAGATCAAGGCCATGACCTGACCGGGAAAGGTCATGCTGCATAGCAGTCGATGCGTATCGTCGAGCTGAACACAGCTGAGGTGTTTTTATCGCTCTAGCTTGAATCTATCAAAAGTTATTTCTTTAAAAAAACTGCTGCGGACCTTTCATGACATGGGATGACCTCTGGGACATAATGGGTGGTCACACTAGGTGCAATGTTCTTATTCAGTGTGTTAATTTTAAATGTATCCCAATGCTTGATATTGTCTAGAATGGCGCTCGTCCAAAAGAGATGCCTTTCAGTTTTCTCCCAAAGACTTAATTATACCTACCTACCTACCTAATGGAGACGTCGCACAACTGACCTGACCTTAGGTCACACTTCACAGATATCGAAATTCCGAGATATACATTTCATGAATAGTGTTGCTTTCATCAATCGCTGAAAGGTTCAAAGCAATCGTTCAGTCGGTATAGCAATGGTAAGCATTTGAACTTTTTCTTAGGCTAGGTCACTTGGCATAACCTGGTGACCTGACCTTCCATCACCCGCGTCAGACATTTTTACAACATGTGCAAAAAAGATGCATGATAAGGTATGCTGAAAATGGCGGCGCTGCGCGCAGCCGTTTTTCAGATATTTGCGAAAAACCTGAGGGGGAGCGCGATAACGCCCCCTAGCACGGCGCGGGCTTTTAGCTCCCGATTTTGACGGTTTGGCGCCCCCGGATTGCCAGGTCGCCCCTATTTCGACTTGCCGCCCCCCTCCCGAAAATTCCTGGATCCGCCCCTGGAGGCGCAAGCATGCTGCTACTTCTTGGCTCCTCGTCCTCATTGGCAAAATTCAAGCTATACCAATGAGAAGCCAAGACGTACCAGCAGTAACTTCCTTATATGGGAAAACCGACAGCATGCTGATATAAAAACAGCGACTGAACAGAGCTCTGGTCATGGCACCTAAACCCTTGACCTAAACCTTTGATGTTAAAAATGAGGAACATGTCCAGTGGACTGTGGCCCCTCTACATTTGGATCGACTGTTTTAAGTTAGGTACTGGTTGAATTATTATTACTTTTAGTTGAATGAAGAGTCATCAAAGGCACTAATTAACCTAAACTTACCTGTCTTTTGAGGGCGTAGACTGCGCCAAATTTGTGCCGCCTCGCCGCAAGGTAGCAAAGAGCGCTAGAAGTTAATATCGCAGGAACAAGCACGAGTTTTCCGGTCAAAGGAGTACCCCCGACCACCTTGAAGGTTTTTGAGGCCGAACCTTCGCACTTTCGAAAGAAATGTAGCCATGATTTCATATATCTAACTCCACCCCACGTAGCCATCTCTCTCGCAAGTCGTTGCACTGTTTACAACAGTCAGCTGATTTTCTTGTCCCAAATATAATTTGGTATCCCTGTGCTACCAAATCATGAAAAATTGGTGGATGTTCGGGTGAATGAAGGCAATCGAAAGTCAGGCCTTCCTTTCGATTAGCTCGCGCCCCGTTGGGCTATTCCGGACCCCCTACCAGTTGGGGGGGGAGGAAGGGGGATGATGCGTTTTACCGCCACCGCCACGGTCTCGGAAAGTTATCAACCGATTTTCTAAATTTAAACGGCGTTAGATAGCCCTATCGGGAACACCTGGTAACCAAATTTCATTGACCTACATAGGTCAGGTGCAACCGATATGACGTCGCAGTTCAGGTCAAAGGTCGCATTTTGGACTGTTTACAGATCTTATGTCTTATAAGATATGTGTTAACAAATCCGCAACATTTCTGAAAATTTTGAGTTGATCTGACCTCAGGTCAGGTCACCAGGTCAACCTAAATTTAGGTCATGAAAAAAGTTTGTCCCCTCACCACAGCAAGAGTTTTCGAGCAAATATGTTCAAACTACCAGGTTCAAATAAGCTTACCGAAATGTGCAACATATGTTTCGGTTTTTGTTATATCCTTGACAGGTCATGACCTGAGGTCACCAATGCTTAGGGGAGAGTGGGTAAAGATGCCCAGGGTATTGCTATGTCATATACTATTCGAAAATGACGATCGGAAAGCAAAAACTTGGAGTTTCAATGGAAGCCGACATCATTTTTTTCCAAAAATATCACACTTCCGTGCCTGAAATATGATAACTTTTTTTGCCATTAAGCATTTTCCTGAAGAAGTGAAAGGGGGCATCTTACCCCACGGGGTGGGAAAGACGCCCCCTGGCGTTGGGGAAGACGCCCCCTGCACTATAAGTGACACAAATGGGCACGTGAATCACCTGAACGAATCAGTAGTCCCTTTGAGCCTGCAGTAGACACCAAACGTCATCGTAAGGGCCCTAAAAAGTAGTCGTAAGGGGCTTCAGAGGTCATCGTTAGGGCCATCATAGTCCAGCGCGGCCAAACAAGCCTCCGTGGTGGCGTTCGGAGACCACTGTGGGGCCCTTATAGGTCTTCATGATGCTTGAGGGTCCTCGAGCCCATCGTGGGGACCTCAGATGCCAGCGCGGCCCGTGGAGCCAACGTGGGAGCCCTCAAATGATGTTGTGAGGGGCCCTGGAGCCAATAATGGGGCCCACAGAGGCCGTCGTGAGGGCTCTCAGAGTCAGATGCCGCCCAAAAAGTCGCTGTGTGGGCCGTGAGACCGGCATGGGGAGCACCCGACCGTTCTGGACTCTCAATAGTCCCAGATCGGCTTTTGTCTCTCATCACAAGTATGTAATAAATGATTTGAAGGGCTGCTTAAAGGACAGCTTACGGATTTAGGGGGGCGTCTTTCCCCATCAGGGCAGGGGGCATCTTACCCCAAAGTACCGAATTGATATTAAATCAGTACAATTTGTTAGCCATAAAACCACACCCTGAAACAAACTGTTTGGGACACAGTACACGCATGTTAATGTATCACGACTATAGCAAGGACGCAAAAATTATCTACCTTCTTTGATATTTACAATGTTTTGACACCAAAATATGTTTTGAAAGCAGCAAATAAAAAACATGCTATCACCAGCCAGCCGTTGCCCAACTGAGCTTCACAAATTTTTGTGCAGTTAACAAGGCAGGCTTCCGCTTTACGCTAAGAACATTAATTTCCAGGTTCGATTCTTTGTTTCGCCGCTAGAGGGGGTGGGGCGTCTTTCCCACCCTGGGCATCATGGGGAAACGATTCAAACTAACATCACTGTCGTTCACCAATTACATATTCGAAATGCGATATATACATACATATATATATATATATATATATATATATATATATATATATATATATATATATATATATATATATATATATATATATATATATATATATATATATATATATATATATATATATATATATATATATATATATATATATATATTTATATATATATATATATATATATATATATATATATATATGTGTGTGTGTAGGGGAGACCCGGGAGGTATGGGCCGGTTTTGTGAAAAGGCAATTTTCTTCCAGTGGGAAGTGGCTAGACCCAGTTTTTCACTCTATATACGTGAAATTGCCTTTCGCCTGCAAAGTGTGCCTGATATTAGGAATCCGGCATTAACCATTTTGTCTCGAGATAACTTTCAATAAATCATGCGCTTTTTCGATCCATCAAAATACACCGGGAGGTATGGGCCATGGCCCGGGAGGTATGGGCCGGTGCCATGTTTCATATTCTTTTCTCGATAATGAGAACAATACTCGTAGCTGGTATCTACCTTGATCTCTCTTAGAGCCCAGGAACCGCATAAGCGGCCAACAGCTTACTTCATTGGGGTCACATGGGCACATATGTCTTTTGGTAAACTCAATCATGCTCCATGAAATAAGATAAATAATATTTTTTTCTGTTCGAATGAAATTTGTAGTTAAATTTTCGACCTTGCGCGACAAAAATAAAAGTTACTGAAGAGGACACTCAATGAAAGCATCATTTTATTGATTTAGGATCAATGGGGGTGGGTGGCCCGAACCTCCCGGTTAGGACGCCAGAATGTGCGTAGCATCTCAGCTCATAAACTTGCAAGAAAGCTTCAGATTGTCTGTCCAGTCTTAATTTGCATGCTTTAAACTTTATATCACCGATGGTGTGGCATCATAAAGCGAGCTTGGTTCAGATTTATCACGAATTTTCTGTATGTACCGTATTTTACTCGAAGAGGGCAAAAACGCTTTATCACCGCTCATTGCCAAAGAAGACTGAGGAAAATTTTGGAAATCACGTGGGTTGTATAACGGAATGGCTGCTACCAGTTTACGCGGTCAAATGTGTAAAAATACGCAACACTTCTTCAAAACTGCGATGACCCATACCTCCAGGGGGCCCATACCTCCCGGGTCTCCCCTACCTAGGGGAAGTTGGGGCAATGCCGGAGTTGGGGCAAAGCCGAAATTCGAGATATTTCGAAAACAGTAAGACATGGATGCCACCTGTCAGTGATGCTCTGAAGCTTAAGTGACTACAATTATCGCATGTTTGTTACGAGTCGTCATTCGGAATACTTCGGCTGTGAGGGCGCCAAGAGCGTTTTCAAGGTACGCGTTCCTTGTACTACATGCGCCTTTGAAGCTGCATTTCTTACTCATTATGCTACCGTTTGTCTGGCCAATTCGGTCAAGTAATCTTCAGCATGTCTTTGCATAAGTGTGCTGCCTATTTGAAATTTATACGGCACGTTGAAAAGTTATGGGCCTGCAAATGAAAGTATGGCTGGCTGGGGTGATGCCGAAAACGTGCAATTACGCACGTTAAAGCACGCTACGTGGACTTAACTGCTGTAGAATAGCAACGCGAATTTTTAGTCACACAAATTACACTTTCAACCGACACAACGGCCTGTTACCTATAAGGAATTATTTACCTGGCATTTTCTTAGTATATCACACAATTATAACTTCCAGTGTGCACCAAGCGTCCTCAAGCTCTTAAAACGCGTGTCAGCTTTGATAAATTCTGGATAAAGTTTGAGATAAAGTGGCAAAACATCAATGTCGGCATTCCCCGTAGATCATTTCTCCCATTTTCGGCTTTCCCCACAGTCCGGGGCAACGCCAAAAAGTCACTTCTTTGATATTTTTAGTTTGTGCGCTTAACGGTATGCGAATTCATCAAATGCGCCTGGTATGTTTGAAAGGCAAAAGACTGGCCTCTCGAATGACGCCAACAAGAATAGCTTATGTTGTCTACCTTGCGTGCTACGGGCGTCAGAAAAAAAGTATTCGGCGTTCCCCCAACTTCCCCTATATACCATCCCTACCAGGTCAGGACAATAATTTGTAGGTACCTAATGATAAACAATAATGCTAAAAACTTATAACAATACCTACCTAATGTTGATAACTATCTTTGAAGAAATTGGGCTAAAACTTGCTAGAGTAGTTCATCTGTGTGTATTCTATCACATATGTCACATATTCTATCATATATTATCACATATGTTTGCGAAAAATCCAAAACTGTTTTAAAAAAATCAAAAGATATATCTTTCTGTAATTGTAAAAACATATTTTTCACAAATTTCCAAATTTTGAAAATTCGAGATAAAAGTTTGATAGCTACGTGTATTTGTAGCCCACTGAAGCAAAGCAATTGGATCTAGCTTTTAAAACTAAGCTCTTGAGAGCGTTTGCCGTAATTCGATATTTTGCATCAAAATCGGCCGACATGACGTCACTCTGACGTCATTTTCAGCCAAACTATGGTAGCTAGAAATTTGAAATGTTAACAAAAGGTGTCAACTTAATGCCGCTGAGGGTACCGCAAGTTTCGTGTTGCTCTGTCAAACGGTTTAGAAGATATTGCCGAAAAACGGGAGGGGGATCTGTAGAGCCCCCCCCCCCCCTGTCATGTGCGGGTTAAATCGCCTGAATCACTTAGCACGTGTCCTGATCACTTCGGAGAAATTCGTGTGAAAAGCTGTGAGAGAAAATATGCTCTCACGGTATAAATGCACATGCATCAATGGCCGGTGCACTTTAAATTCGGAGGTCAATGATTCGTTCTTTCTTAGCCCGCGCACCGACGGGGGTCTGCGCCGACTTATGTAGAACCGACGGGGGGGGGCGGATGACCGCCCCCCTGAGATCTCGAGAACGAAGCAAGATAGCGACAAGCGGTAAACGGCATGGGATACGCACGGACAAGGTCTACAATTTTTACAAAGGTCATTTCAGGTCAGGTCAAAGATGACGTCACAGGGGTCAAAAAGTCAAAATGACCGAGCTAGAAATGGAGAGTTTTTCTCGAATAACTTTCGAACTAGTTAAAATAGGAACAAACTAAGGGCATCGTCGTGATTCTCTTGTCAATCCGCATCGAATGATATATATGTTGACCTCGAAAGTTCAAGGTCAAAGGTTGACCTCAGGTCACGTGACCTCGA